AAAGTAATGCGTTACTTTACTAGTTACTTGAAAAAAGTAATCTGATTACGTAACTCGCATTACTTGTAATGAGTTACCCCCAACACTGGACTTTAGCATTCGCCTTTCGAGACTTTGTCAGTGCCTCATGCATGACACTGCGTTCGAAAAACGCAACGCTTAAGTACAAAGAAATTAAGGATTTCAGATGCAAAAACCTCTAAGTGCCGATTGAAATTTTCTTCTAAAATGAGCATTTTTCTCAGGATCCTATGTTTATGTTCAGTTAATTCACTTTAATGGCTATGAAAAGAACCTATTCATTGCTATTAAAGTGAAATTACTGAACCTACATGATAAAAATGATCAATGATTTTTTTAGCAGGCTCCTGTGTATAGATGCAAAAGCCTCCAAGTGCCATTTGAAATGTTCTTCTAAAATGATTTTTAAAATGAGCTTTTGCATCTGAACTCTTCAATTCAATTTTACAAATAAATGTGTGTATCTTCCATGTCCTTTAACTGCAAAAACATGAATGGCACCTGAACGGGGTGGACAAAAGTCTATACGGCCCCCCCCCCCCCCCCCCCCCCCTGCCGTGGCGTTACCATAATATATAATTTTCTTCTTCAAATTTTGATTTTTAAACTCCATTTTTGAAGGATTTTGAACATGAACAGACCAGTAGGCTAATAATTGGTGGAAACAGGTTTGACATAATCTAAAAAATAAGTCTTTTTAATAATGAAGTGTATATATAAATCAAAATGTGCAGCTCGTACAGTAGTTTTTAATGTCTATTAAACAAGTGTAAAGTCAGCATCAGCTATTCATTGTTAAACATATGAGGGATCCAAATGGCATCTATTTTATAGAATGACCCTTAAGAACAGAAAAGGAGATAAGAAGACAAAAGAAAAAGCCAAATACCATTTGAAACATGCTGACAGTTGAGCAAGATCTGAAGCCTTCAACCTGTGACCATACAGCTCTGCAGAGGTATACTGACAGCACTGACTACAATAAGAAGAGAGAGCAGAGAGGTAAATAATTTACTCCATTATCTGCACTGCAAAGCTCATCAGTAAGCCTGAACAATAGGCACGATTGAATTGCTGATTGCATCTCTCTCTTTGCCTGCTAGGTCCTTTACCTCCCTGAATTCTGCATTAACGAGAACGAGGGGCACAGAGAAAGAATCTTTTCCAATGTCATACAGCCACAATATACAGGTACCAATCTAATTAGGAGTCAAAGGTCACATCCAGCATCAGACTTCAGGCTGTTTCTGCAGGAGGCTAATGGAAGGAGATGGTTATGGACAATTTTCCTGAAGGACTTTATGAGTGTTATTTCCATGTATTAGTAGAAATGACCTAAAATCTAAAAAGCAATTGGATAAAAACAAATTGGTAAGACCAAAGCCTTAATCACATACATCAAAATGACCCATCATGATGTTTATATTGAAATGTCTCTATGCGGTATACTTCAATTTCTTTCCTATAGTGAGCAATCAGATTGTTCCAGTACCTGTGTCATTCGTCTCGAATAGTAAATTCAAACCACGTCCTGCATGTTTAGCTTTTCCGAATTATCTTTCCACATCATGTGAACAACTCCCTTAAATACTATTTTTAGCTTGCATAGTCAAGGAGACCTAAATGGCCCAAGATCGGAAATAATGTGCTAGTTTCCTTGGTTCTCCGTTGACTTTGAACTTTTTATCCCCCCACCTTCCAATTTAGATCACCATGTTTCCATCAGATGAAGGCATTTTCATAGCAAGCATAATAAATCCCTTTAGCCAAGTGCTCAGAGGTCCTGCCTTCTGTCCTGGAGAGTAGGGGGTCAGTGTCTCTCCTCCTCTCTGCTCTGTTTGTTTTATGGAGCACCAATTTCAAAACACCGCGGCCAGTTTTACTCCACAGTTCAGCAAACTCCTCTGGTCTACCCAGAAACAACAACAAAAAAACAGCCATTTTGTCAGAAGTCCAGAGGGTTATGGTTGTCAAACCCAGCTAGCCTTCATTAGTTGAATGAGGTCATTATGTTGACTCTGATTTAGAGGTTATTTCAGCACAGAGACTCACAGTACTCGTCTAATGGTGGTCAGCTTTACTTTTTGACCTTAAGTAGGCCTGAATCATTTCCTTCAAATATAAAGAGAGCAGACTCGTTCTTCCTATTATTAAAAATACAGCCAATCATGTCACACTCATCTCCCTGTAATTTGACAAATAGGGAAGTTAAATACACCAGTTAGTGTATTTAGACCTGTAAATCGCTCATTTTGCTAAAAGCTTCTTGAAGACATCATGACAAAAAAGTCTTCCCAGAAACGCTAAACTTATTCTCTGGAACGGCTGCATCACCAGCCCACCATTTGCACACAGTGACTTAAACCTTAGTGTGTCATTTATGCAAGAGAACAGAGAGAGGGGCACAAATTGCTGGGTCTAAAGTAAAGAGCTTTATTTATAGCTACCACCTAAGCTGAAAGCCAGTGTAGCTCTAATAGAGCAATCTGTATTCTTAATGGTAATGCCCCATTCGTTTGGTCCATTTGGCTCAGTACAGGTGCATTAATGGGGCTTGTTGAACAGTTCCAGCTGAGCTGATTGGAGAAGGACGGATCAGTGAACACAATACTCCCTCTGGTGGAAGAAGAAAGAATTAAGCATATTCTGCATTTAATACAAGACACAGGATAGCCTATATTAGATCAAAAGTGACAGCAAGCAAGAAAGCAAGCAATAAAAAAAAGTTCCTTTATAATTCATTTAGATATGACAGTATATTTTCAGGGCTTAAAGTTTATTTAAATACAAGTATCACACATATCTGTATCATTATATATAATGGACGTCTTTTCCAGTTTCATATTGGTAATACATTCTTTGAAACAACTGAATTGTTTAATTGAAGTGTTAATATATATATTTTAATTGATATATTTAAATATAGTTTTGGCTGTAATTATACCTTAGGAAAGGTTGATAGTGCTTAATTATTTTCCCTTGAAGTATTTGCTTTTTGAAATATCACGATAATGTTGTTATGACAAAGTACGGTGCCTGGGACAGGACATGTTCTGTGCACTTGGTTTTGTCGTGGCCACAACTTGTGGGTATGTCATATATTGTAGCTACATCTATGTCTTAAAGCCGCACAATCTGTCATTCTTAATTAAAAATAAATTAAGCAGAATGGTATCAGGGTTGATGCATAATCTCAACACACAAGACCAAAGTGTTTGTCAAAACCTAGAACAATATAAAAACAAGGACAAAATTATAATAGAATAATAATATAATAATGTAATAAATGTTACACTTTATTTCGATAGTCCAATTTAGACATTCTACTGATTATAAGTAACTTTGCATAAATAGATAATAGCCTAATAATACACACAATATTATAGTTAATAGCCTATAATACACACACACACACACACACACACACACGGAAATAAATCTAATATTTTATCTTCCTTTATATATTTTTAAGTTGTATTTGCTAACACAGCAAAGGAAAGTTAGATAAAACTGACTGGGAACAGGCCGAAGAAAGCATCTTCATGAAGAATGAATACGATTTACTGTATATAGTACTATTAAAGTTATTGATTTTACATGAATAACATTATTTATTTTTATGTAGGAGACACAAAGGCCATTTAAATACTTCGAAAGACCCAGCTGGTCACGTTTAAAAACATGCAATAATTTTAAGCTCCCAGACTATTATATCTCCTGTGCATGATAATTTACCCCTCAGTGATCCTTCAAGAGATGCTGTCATTAAACTTAAAAGTATTCTAAACAATCAATAACTCTCAGATAAAATCATGTTTCATACTAGGATACTCGCTGACGTGGAAACAAACAAATGATAGCAACTCTACATCAACAGAACACAGAGAACTTCAGTGCTCCTAATTAACCTTCTCCCTTGCAAATCAATACATGGTACAGGCTCTTTTTAATTGAGGAATAATTATCAGCTTGTATGCATCTGCCTAATGAAACAATGCTTTGTTATGCCTGCAGCTAAAAAAAAAAAGAAAAAAAAAAAGTTAATTGAGTTCTCTTTTGTGAAGCAGACGTTCTCTCCTGGTCATGTGACGTGTCTGGTTTTGGCCTGTATACTGTCTGTCTGTCCGTGGAGATGAACACAGATGTTTTGTTTTCCACTGATCACATTGAACTCTCTCTCTCTCGTCCCACTTTTACTCCGTACCACTTCAGAATTAGATTTAATTTTTCCTAGTCACCATGACAGCCTCCCCTTATTTAATGGTGAAACTAAAACGGAGACAAAACTACCAAAAACTATGACCAAAAACACTCTTGCCGAGAAATATACGACCAAAAACACTGTTGCCGAGAAGTTTTTAGTAATCTTGAAGCATTTGATTAGTTCATTTAGGTGTGTTTGATTAGGATTGGAGCTAAAATCTGCAGGATAGTGACCTTCCAAGGTTGTACACCCCTGCTGTAAACCATTCGCTGTAATGTGACATATTTCTGAGTGAAATAAATTATTTGACAAGAAAATAAATAAAGTAGGGTGGGGCTTGATAATGGAAGATGAATAAAAACTGTGTAGTAACAGTTTGGGATCGGTAAGATCAGTTGTGTGTGTTTTTTATTTTATTTTTAGAAATCTATTATTTTGTTCAAGAGGGATGCATTAAGTTGCTCACAAATAACAGTAACGACGTGTCATAATATTACTGATCGCTGTGTTTATGAACAAACAGATGCAGCCTTGGTGAGCATAGTACTATATGCTTTTGTGCTATATATGATCAATTGATATGATCACTGATAAATTAATAAGTAAAAAATGTACATCAAACTCTCCTCTCAAAATGTACACACCCTCCAAGCATATCCCCAAAGCCCATTTTGAAGAAAAACTAAGCATACTGAAAAAAAACATGGTCTCACAGACAGTAACGTTTATTTGAAATGCTTGGAGACAATTTATACCAAAAAATAAAAATAAAATAAGCAAATATAAAAGGAAAGCTGGCAGTTTTAAAAACATTTTAATACACAGACATTGTTTAAATGACCTGAACAACTGCTGAAACCAGGGTGGAATGAATGATTCATGAAGGCACTATTGAGTGTACAACTAATGTTGGTTTGAGCATCTTTCTTTCTTTTTTGATCTTCTGGTAAAATGCAATATTACGACTTCTGAGAGGGCAGTAGTCTGTTGAGACCAAGTTACCTTAAACCAATACCGCCCTACAAGATACAAGACGATACTTGCAGTTATCATTCAAGGAACCTGTTCTGGACAAATAAGGCTTCGCACAGAAGCAGGTAGAAACAGGAACACAGAGGCCAGATCTAACGGTCTTTAACCGGTCCAAAACAGTCTCTATAATGGAACAATGAAAGATCGTCTTAGAGGTCAGTTTCTGTTTCATTATTCAGATTCATTCAACTGTTCGGTTTCATTAGTTTTAGAGTCTTCAGGAGATGCAATGATAAAAAAAAGAGCGAAAAATAGAAAAGAAAAAAAAGCAAGCACCAGTGGGGTCCCCAAAAAGATGTCTATTTTCAAAATAACTAGTTTTAAACTACAACTTTGAATTTCTTACAACCATTTGGTCCAATTACATAAAATATACATGTAAATACAATTTGTACAGATATGAAATCTGTTTGACCGCATTCTAAACTCTGGCTACAATACCTTTACTAAAGTCTGTAAACACTGTTCATGTCATTCTATTAAAAATGAATATACACAACGCAAGAAAGTGTTAAGAATTCACAAGACCACAGTTAGTAGTAAAATAAGGAGGTGCTCTAATGTACCAAACATCAGGTACAAAAAGCAGTACCCTTTTGACCCTGTTCAAAATTGATTTTTTTTTTTTTTACAACAGTGACTGATGGCCAAAGAGGTTCTGTCATTTTCTTTTGCAAGGCATGATGAATTATGTGACAATTTGATGGTGATGTCACAAGTGTTTTCACTGCTGTAAAAGTCCATAAAAAGATACTGGGCCCAAAGTGGCTAGATACCGAGCGTCACTGTCAGGACTGTGTGAAGTCTCTCAACTATAAAAACTTCAGCCCCTCTAGTCTAGGACTTCCAGGTATCTGTGTCCACATTGTAGAAGTCCTTTTCTTCTCTTCCCAGTGAATGTGACAGAACAGTACATGAACAGGCCAAACGACACTTGTACCATGCTAATGTCAACTCTAGTTTACTTTTGGATAGATTTTCTCGTAAAAGAAGTTCTGAGCCAGCAGGTAAAGCTCTCCGTCTTTTTCCCTGACGCTGTGAGCGCGCACAAACTGAAACTGTTC